TGTTCAGATAAATACGAGCACTGAACGATATGATATCAATTTTTTTTTTATATTGTTCTTCTATATATTTTGTTCAACATAAATATATGTTATGGTCCAAATTAGGCTGAATTCTAATTTTGGGCCATAACATATATATCGATTAAGGTCAAATAAAAAAATAATGATGAGGAAATTGTTCGATGCGTTTTTCCTTTAAATAGTATATTATAAGTAAGATTTGAAATCTCTGATATAGACAAATGGGATAACATCGGATATCTTGAAGTTAGACAACAGGCCTACGATCGTTTTATTTTCTTCTAGAATTTAAATGAAAAATTTTTAAACGGAATCGAGTCTTAACTTTAGGTAAGATTACAAATTTATGAGAATACCTTTGAGTTGTGCGCAATCATTTGCTTTAACGAGATTTATTCACATATATATGAACAAATACAATCAACGTGAACTCACTATCTTTTGTATTCGTCAGTGAAATGTTCTGTATTCAGCACAGACTATTTACCAGGTGTGAATTTGGAGTGATAAGTCTAGATGTTGATGAAGAGAAAACTAAGTGCAGCCCACACTCACACCCACCGTATATCACTAGAAAAAAATGCCCTCAGAAATAATTTTCTAAAGATAGCTCAATCTTGAGTTTCAAATTTTAAGATGAACTATGAAACAAACAGAAAAAAACCAGCAAATATGGAAAAGTAGTAGTTTTGGATTTATAATTTGTATATTATGAAAGGAAAATACTCTTTTATTTATTTTCGAAGTGTGTTTGAACCGTACCAATATTTTATATTCGGAAAAATTAAAACAAATGTCTCCTATTACCTTCGTTGTTGTACACTTCACTCAATATAAGAAAATTACGATTGATTATGGAATATTGATGACGATGCAAAAAGTTGTCTGAAAAATGTTTTCAACCAATATAAAAAATAATTGTGCTGCTTAATAGCCTTGTATTGAAAACTCAAGTTTGAAGTATCTATTTAAAAAGTGTTTCTGCGGATTCGTTGTTTTCTATTAAGTAGTAGGCTGATTAACAGCTTGAACTTTAACCGAAACAACTTTATCAATAGCATAGACCGTAGAAGTCTGTAATAACTATTAAGATTTTAACATTCGGAATGAGTACAGCGAACTCTATATGGTCATATGTTTCTACAAAAAAGCAATTGATCACTTGGATAACTTTCCTGTTCGATTTTACTTATAATAAGAGCCAGCACAATGTTCGAGAAGTAAGAAGATGAATATTAGTTGATAAAGCATTTTCATTACTAGGTTTTCTTTATACCCATCAAATAATTCTATTTATTTTGAAAGCTATTAATCTTTTTCAGTAGTTTTATTTCACGTCAATAGGGAAGGAAAGCAAAAAAATGGAAGATCTATTGAAGCATGTTAAAATATATGAATGTTTCTTCTCAATAAACCCTTTGACTACTAATGAGCCTACTCCAAAAAAGAAAGTGTGTCATTTTCTTTTCGCTGTTTTTTTTTAAATCTCAAATAACGAAAAATCTAACATCGATAGAAGTAGATATTATTACCGTAACTATGATTCTTACATTGATATAGTGAAAACGTTAATTTCTTGTCACGATATCATATATTAGCAATAAAAATTATTCGAATAAGATCCAATCTGTAATGTTACTTGATCAACTAAAAGAAACATGAGTGGCTTTCAAAGAATTTCATGATCGATTAACAGCATGCTATCGTAGTGATTAACCGAATAGAATCAAGAGTAGAATGGCTTCTTTGCCACTTTTTATTCTTGACAGAAATAAAAGCAGTATTACTAACTCTAATAATGGGTCATTCTTGAGAGTGGGTTTGGCTGTATGAAAGTGTGTTTCAAATTATACTCATACCCATAATAAGAGAAATGTCTCTTACTTTAATCTTTTCTTTCGTAATTGCAATTTACTCAACAAATTTCTTGATTGTGTACGTTCCATAATACTAATCAGTTGTATTATATCTTCCATTAAATCAACAAAAATGCGATTAGCAAGAAAAAAATTTTCTAAACAATAGAAATGTTTTGTTCATTTCAGTCAACTAAGATTATTGCGTAGTTGGAAAGAGCAGACTTTAATGTATCTTTTTTTTTGTATAACTCATACGAGTCTACATACATTTTTCTACAACTGTTTATAATTTGATATATTATCTTTGTATTTTTGCTGAAGTTTCACTGTATACATAGTAAAATGACTACACATCCTAGTGATTTTGTTGAAGAAATGAGATCAAAGAGGTTATATGGAAACGTCAAAAATTTACCATATACTCATCTGAACTCTAGCTACCATTTGATATCACGAAAACTAGAATCTCAACAAACCTCATTGCAAAAACACAAAAGAAATATATCGGATAATAAACAATCGTAAAAAAGTGTCTATACAATCATATGTTTTCTATACACATTATTATTGTTTAGATATAGATGTGCGTTCACATATTCTTCTTATATTCTATTGCGTTTCATCTAGTGTTTGACTATATATAATCTTGTTGTGTATTCATTTATTTTTATTTATTAACAAAAAATTGACAGACTTATTTTTAACTGAAAAATCAACATCTTCTTAAACAATGAATTATAATATTCAATATTGAAAATAGATAGAGTCAATATACTGAGTATTGTAGTGTTTTTGTTTGAAACTTTTAATGTCAAGTGTGACAAGATAAAATGGTTGATCTTCATCTGTACAAAAACATTCATAATAATAATAAAAAGCACTCATCTCAATTTCTTGGCTTAAGAAAATTTTCTGAAAGAGAGGATGCAGTTTTTGAATATCTTCTTTAAAGGTTGTTTCATTCTCTATTCGTTGTTGTTCATCCCATTTGCATTGACAAGAAAATATCGTTAGTTTAGGTACAGACTTGAAAAGAATCGTTGAAAGCTTATTCAGTTCAGCTGGAACCATACTAAGAGCTGAAATGTTGAGCGTTGTCACATTGGGAGTATGAGATAAAATAGCGGCAAGTGAAGAGAAATACGTGCAATTTAGCTCAAGATACTTCAAGTTTGATTGAAAATGGATTGGAAGAGAAGAAACTTGCGTAATATGAAAGATAAAATCGCTCATATTTTTGAACCATCGTAGACCAGGACATACATGAAAAATATGTTGGCAATAGTGTACATCATCAGCATTCAATCGAAGCTTACGAATAGAAGGTGATCCGGACCACGTGTCTTTTAATGCTATACGAAAATATTCGGCTGAGAATTCTTGAAGACGTTGAAAACCATTTGAGAATATAATATCCAATAAATTGTTGACTGCTTCATTGTATTCTTGAAGAATATCTAAATAAAACAAATCAGAAGTTTTTACTCGATTCTTTTTCTTTCTGAATAGAACACTTCAAAATTATAAAGTTTATGATTACCACCGATTTCTAAAAGTAATGCTATTCTCCAGCATATTGACTAGATAAACATCTATGAACTCTAACACGGTTCTAAGATAACTTGTGTAGATTTTATCAGATGCAGTTCTACGAAAACAACAATTTTCAAGAGAATAATTCGATTAGATCCGATGTCTTTTATCAGAATTCGAATAAAATAAACAAAGAGAGAGTATGCCTTACAAGAGATATCAAGTTCATTTGTAAATTGGTAGATTTTTGTTCTCTCTGAATTTAAATTGAGATGGTATTTTATTATGTTCGATTTTTTTTTCTATATATCTCTAGACTAATGATCAGTAACGTACTAAACAAACGTTATAAAATTAATAATCATCTTCCTCTTACTGTTAAAATTATATCTTGAGATAGTTAGTTGTTCCAACATAGGAAAATGATGTGAACGAATACTATTCAGTTGCTTTTGACTTGGATCTTGTAGATAAAGTGAGCGTAAATTGATTAATGATGTGAAATCAACGTTGTTATCATTCATAACAAGATAAATAATTCGAGAAGAATAGTTTTGTAAAATAGTGATATCATCAATGACATTAACTCTCACTGTGAGTTTCAAACTTGTCATTGACTGAATAATCGAATCGATGTAATAATTGAGCCCGGAGAAGGTCAAAATAACATGTTGCGGTGTAAGTAATGTGAATATTTGCTCAATCAATTCGACAGGCAAATGTTCGAATAAGGTAGTTGATCGTTCGTCACACATAACAATGACTATTTTCGATAAAATGACACTACTTTTTCTTCCGACTGTTAGTACTGGTTATACAGTTTATTGATAAAAAAATGGAAAAGCGTGCGTATTTATAGGATAGTGTCATATGCTAAACAACAGTACAAAGAATAGTGGTCACGCCAGACGTGATGAACAATAGAACAAAGAGTGATAGTCACACCAGACGTTGAGCAATAGTGTAAACAACGATGATCACGCCAAATGTAGCTAAGTGGATGATTGGAAGATAACATGATAGTCAGGGGTCGCCTCGATAACACCGACGTACTTTATAAGATGATATCTTATGGCAAATAAATGATTATTCAGGTGAAGAATAATGTCGCATGTATGACGTCAGAAGAAAAAAAAACAGAAAACTTTCTGTTACTTGTAATTGCATCATAAAATGTCGTCATCTTTTGCATTAGCAACGTGTTGCATCTTCATGATGATAGATACTGATATCAGTGTCGGCGAAAAGTATAAATACGCTTTCGTCGAACTCTACACTTGCTCAAAGCGATACTTATTAATAGAAGACAAAAACAATATGGGTGTGGGTGTGGGTGTAGATTGAGAGACGATCCACACCCACACCCACACCCTCGGACTTTTGTAATAGCTTAGTGCATACATATTTTTCTCCCATTACTCGGAGCTAAGAGTACATTTATAAATAATTGCATGCTGATTATTTCGCCAATAGTTCCGCGTTTCAGAAAATCATCATCGTTATTATTTCAAATCTAGTGATTATTAAAAAGAAAAACAAATTTAGAAAAAAGCTTTGATAGACAGATACAGGATGGAAAGACATTATTTAATCAAGACGTATTGTTCCACATGCTATACGAGGCCCAGCATTTCTAAGAATTCAATAAAGATATCAATAAAGAAAAATGACAATTCGGTATATAAATACTTACCCAGTCATGTCACTTTCACTATGGTCAGTGTGACCTCCATCGTCTGTCAAATTGTGGACCATAAGAGGTAAATCAATAACATTTCTTGTCTTATTGAATCCAAGCGAAATAACCCAATCACATATTACAACATGGCCTATACCATCAGCATCTACTTCAATATTGGCTAGATCTCCCACATGTCGTTTCAAAACTGAATCTTCCTGCATCCCATGAGATACATCTACCATAACAGATAAAGTGTGAAGATCATCACACTATTATAGAGACCTAAACTTACTGTAGGGATTGAAATGAGCACCACCAGATGTACAATTATGATTGTCTCCGATGGGTAAAGAATGGATATGAAAACCCTAATAGAAATGTATTTCATTGAGAGTTTTTATCACGATTGTTGAAGAACAAATTTCGGTATTGTATAGTTTCGATGAACCGATTCAAGAATGTGTATTTTCATCTCAAACATTTTGTTGTACGGACGTTTAAAAAAGTTTTTTTTTTATAAACAGTAAACTTCTGATGCTTCTATTTCTTTGGGTTTAGAGTGCGGGCTTGTGGTTAAAGAGCAATCAATCCGATATACGACTGCTAGAAATAGCATTTCAATACACTCTAAAACGGACTATTGCTGATTAAACCGAAATGAGTCCGAAAACTAGGTGGAAAAATCTTCTTATGTTAAAAGTTTACAATACTTGCCGTTTTCAGAATTTTTATATATATTTGGTTTCAAAGTTATCAGTACAGCGTAATAATACAATCACTATATGTCTAGCAGTTTGCTATTGAACAAGAGAATTTCCAATGTGGATATTTTCGGAAAGGGAAGGATGATTTTATAATAATCTATCATTGTTTTTATGGAAAGATAAAGAATCATTATAAAATGCTACACTTTAGCGAAATATATTGAATTGACGCTTTTTTCTTCAAAACATAGACTTACTAACGTTGCTAGAGGTCTTAGACGACTAACAGAACCAGTGATGACAACGCCCCAAGCTTCTTGCCCTTCATAAAAGTTAATCGTTCCAATAAAATCATTCGTTCCTGCGAGATACATATCTGCATGAGCATGCGCTCCATCAACACCGCATACACGAGCGGCAACCAGTACCAGAAAAGGAAGAACAAGTTTCATTTTTAGTTATTCACAGGCACACGAAAATGTTGCAGAATCGTATATGAAACAGAAATATAGAACGAGAACGATGATTGTGTAAAAAAAATCTTATCTCATATCTCATACAGAACATTAAAAACCATGAATTCTCTCTTACTGCATTGTCATTGCAGTTGACATTAAGATTACATCGGCGAAAATTTCTCGTGACAAAACCTTTTTAAAGTCATACAGCACTTTAAGAACACTAGTGACAAAACCAATGACAATATCTCACATCGCTCATACTGAATAGAGAGATTTACTGAATTCTTTTCTTCCTTACTATATGGAAAAAATACTCCTTTCCCGCTTCAGAAATATGCTTGTGAGATGACGTTATATGTTTTAAAAGTTTATTTAATACCATCAGTGAATGAAAAAAGAGTGTGGGTGTGGGTGTGTGAGTAAGAAGTAAAAACGACCACACCCACACCCTAGACTAAGGAGTACGCCATGGAAAGTTTGATGGCGCTAGTTATTACCGAACCCAAAGGCACAAAGAACAGACAGACAAACACTGTTACTTATATAAACAGAAGAAGATACTCGCTTCCATACCCTATACTCACATTCAGCGCCTGGATCGCTAATTTGAACTCACTGCCTCTGGAAGCCTCTACTTGACGTTTCTCCTGAAAACGCAAGTTTGATTATCTGGTTCCTTCGCAGCTGAATTTCTATTGGTTTTCGGTCAGCCAATCAAATTTCAAGGCGAATGGATCTCAGATTCGAACTTATCATGTCTAAAAATCCCTGCTTCATCATTTTCCCGAAAGTATAAGTGTTTTTGTCTAATTTTTTAGGAACTGTGTTCCTATTGGTTTCCAAACAACCAATCAGATTCCGAAGCAAATGGACCTCAGATTCGAACTCACCGCCTCTAAAAACCCCCTGCCCCATCATTTTCTTGAAAGTATAAATGTTTTTGTCTATTTTCTTGAGAGCTGAGTTCCTATTGGTTTTCGGACAACTAATCAGATTTCGAGACAAATGGACCCCAGATTCGAACTCACCGCCCTCGAAAACTTCTAGTTTCATGTTTTCTGTGTGTGTTCATGAAGTGGTACTCAGTAGTAGTTCTATAGTACCGAATGTTGCAATCTGATTGATTAGCAACATAGGCAGGCTTTTTCCAGGCGAAGGATTAACTGTTTTTGAAAAAAAAAAGGAGACGTCGACCTTCTCCTGAATGAAAGGTGGATTCCTAGAAAGTTTGGTTGCATTTGCTCATACGGTGTTGAAATGCATAGCGAACAGACAGACAAACAGACAAATATTCTTCTTTATATATATAGATAGACAGAAAATATGAAACTCTTCACAAAATATTACGTTTTAGTAGAGCATATAATTTTTTGAAGTATTGTCTATTTCCCAGTGTCGGCTGTTTCTTTCTTTCTTCTCTCAAATACCATCGACATTGAGTAATTACGTAAAACTGCTAACATGTACGTACAGATAAAAGCCTTCTTTTCTATGGTATTTTTCTGCTGCGTTCGACGCTTTGTCGAATAGTTATTACACAATATCAATTCGGTTTCACCTTAACATATTATTCTATTCTAACAATGCACGAAGGTCCGAAAGTGATGGTTTACCATTACATACGAAGTTGACAAAGCTCTAACCTTTGAAACCTAATATCACCATTACTCCTCATGACCTTCTTTTTTTTTCACTCGTTCTATCACTATCATCTCACTGATAAAATGAATGTGCTTAGTTTTCAGTGGCTATTCTTGAATAGGTTGTGTAAAATATTTTTCTGATCAATTCAACAACCTCAGTTTAACAATTATTTTTCCAGTTTCTGAATTTTGAATGTAAATGATTAGAATTAAATATTGAAATTTTTCGATCATTTTTTGTACTCTACTCAATCGTATCTAAAACTATTTCTCGAATGTTTTTTATATAAGGAAAATTATAGAATGGGTATGGATATCTTCCGTTGTATGCCTATACCCATCTATTTGTGTCGAATGACAATAATAGAAATCATGGAGCAATTTTTACATTGTCCATTTGAAAGAATATACGATTCAAGTGATATTACAAAGAGAATTCTGTTCGTGATTGGTTTTTGTATTTTATTATTCTCAAATAAAGCATGTCGAGTGTTAAATACCACATTGAGTATGAAAGTTAAAATCAGTTTTCTATTCTAATGATAGAATAGGTCAAGTAAAAACTTTTAGTTTGATATACAGAATGTTCTGTATGGTGCTTCTCATAATATTTTTTTTTATTTATATCATCAAACAACGACTGACTTTTTGTGTACTATCAAGACGAATGGTAAATAAAAATTAAAAGTATCTTTATCTCATATGTAACTATTGTTTTTTTTTCTTCTGTTCTGTTCTTCTTTCCTTGGACATTCCATACACAAGTAAGCATTTTTCCACTTAAATTGCACTACTAAAAAATTGTTTTTTGTTTTTACCAAAAATAAATGATTAATCTATAAATTTATAGAATTTTGCAATGAGGAAAAATTATAAGTCGGTTTATCTTCCTTTAATTAATATCAAAGCAGAATTTGTGGATGTGAATGTGGGTGTCGGTGTATTTCTTTCCTTTATTTACACTCACACCCTCGAATATTGTTCGTCAATATCAATGCAGTCGAGTAAATCAGTTTTCAAAACAGTTTTTTTTTGTTTCTTTTTTGTTTGTAACGCTTACGATAAGTATATATTAATATAGGGTCTAATAACATATCAACAAAAAGGCATATCAGCTATCATTCTTTCTTCGCGGTGTTGGTGTGTGTGTGTGTGAGCATGATGCTGTGGATGTAGCTGTGAGTTCTGGGTGCGGGCCTTTGCTTGAATAACACTCAGACTCACACCCCACACCCACCCCACAAAAAAACTAAAATACAACCCACCCTCAAGCGTGAAGAGTTGTAAAATTCACATGGCATCGCTTGTTCTAATAATATAGTTTTTATTGAAAGAAAAAGCAACATGCTATCCAGGAAAATTTGCTTACGACAAAAAATCTTTATTTTGCTATCTTCGGAACTTATGTTTCGTAATTTCGTCTGTTTATCACGTAATATGCTGTATACACGGAAAAGTAAAGTATACCAGAACATGCATTATAGAATGGCCTATATTACGCACAGTAATGTTTACTATAATTGCTTTCGGAAAAACGAATTCTGCGGAATTGAAACTTGAGAGCCTTATGCCCCATCGCTCCTAGATTAGCATGCTGAAGAAATGAGCATCATCGTGGGGTGTTGGTGGGTTTGGGTGTGGATGTGGGTGGGTGTGGGTGTGGGTGGGTGGGTGTGGGTGTGGGTGGGTGGGTGTGGGTGTGGGTGTGGATGTGGTTGTGGGTGTGGATGTGGGTGTGGGCGTTCATTGTCTCTTCACGAATAGTCACACCCACACCCACATCCACACCCACCCACACCCCGAAATGTGTTATTGTTCGAGATTCATTTATTCTTAAAATATTATCATCAAATTTACTATCGACATATTATGGAAAATACTTTTTACATGAATATTTACATGATGTCGATGAAAAAATCTTATTATTATTAGGTGTTGAAAAGTTGAGTATTCATGAAATAATTAAAATAATTAAAAAACAATTTCTCATTCAACAACAGTCACTTAATACTTCAATTGAACAGATCACTCAATGGTTATTATGTTTAAACTATAGTTTAGAACAAATGAAGTATCTAAATGATATTGACGATGATACAATTCAATTGAAAGAACTAAAAATGATTCCGATAGAAAATCAAACTGAACTCGTATCAACTAACGAAATGATTATATTTTTTCCTGACATAACACAAACTGAGTTTAGACATGTTGATCAAAAGTTAATTAAATTATTAAATGATCTACCTACAGTAAAAGTGGAACTATTTCATTACATTGAACAAAACTATCCTGATCGTTTACAAGACATAAAAGAATTACTGAAAAAATTTGGCATCATAGAAAAACGTTATGATGAAGTTTATCGTTTATCAATTAAACCCGTTTTTGAAAACGAAACCATGTGGAAAGCAAAAGATAGTGAAGTATTGATAATGTATTTAGTGTATGTATACGAACATATTCATCAAAAAGGATATCCACATGAAAATGATTTTGATATCGATGATTTTAAAAATATCGTACAAATTAAATGCCGAAACAATGAATTTTATAATCCAATGAAAACAACAATTCATTTATTGACAACCGATGATTTTAACGATGGAATCAGAAGACTATTAAAACCTACAAATTGTGTATTTATGTCGGATGAGTATTCGAATTATATAAAAAAAGACGAAAAAGACGAAAAAAATCAATGGTATATGTTTCTTGAGCGATTGGGTATTAGCGAATTCTTGAAGATCGAAACAGTTTTGCATAGTAAGTCAAAACATATTTGCCACAGATATTTGATCATTTGTTCATTCTTAACTAATTTCACGTAAACATAGATTTAGTGTTCGAATTGAATTGAAATTGTAATGGATGATTTTGATTAGCCTTGATTTTTTTTAAAATGACGTATTAACACACAAATGATTGTAATTTTTCGTGTTATGTGATTGAAATATAGAAGAAAATATCATCACAAGGTTTTCATCTAACTTGAAAATGATTGTACTATCTTATCAGAATAACAGTTTATTGATTAATTTGTTGTGATTAACAAAGTACATAAATCCGCATAGATTCTATGAAATTAATTCGATAGAATTTTGACAAACTGTGACTGTTCGAATTCGACAGTATTTCTTTCCAAGCAATAGTTTTCCTAATTGACTGCAATAGTGAAGTGTGCCAAGGGATTGGCACTTTTAGATTTGTATTTGATGTTGAGTCGCTTCTTGAAAATGCTAGAAAATGATTAGTTGACAGAGGAATAAAGTGTAAAAAAAACATCTATGTGATGTTCAAATACTAAACTAAATGTACCAATAAACAGTTCATGGTTTACAGATGCGTTTGATTGAAGTATTAGACTTATAAACCCTGTCTTAACATTTCTCTTTTTTTCAATCGTCTCTCTTAATAGATCAATTACGTGAAACACCATGGGAACATTATGAAGAAGAACTTCGTGAAGACTATTCAAACACCAAAGGATATGTAATCCATGATTTTACATGTCCTGAATTTATTGAAATATTTGGTAATAGTGACAAGTCTGATTCTGAGAATTCTACTCTGTATCACGACACATGTCATCAACTATTATCATATATAAATAGAAAATGGAATAAAATTCAACATTATTTTCGAGTGAATATATTTTCGGTAGGTAATCCATATCCGTTAAAGGAAGTTGATTCAACATTTTGCATGAATTTAAAACAATGCGGTTGGATACGAACTAATTGTATCGAATACAAGTATGACAAACAAACCAAAGAAGTAATTAGAAATGAAACAATCAGATTGAAACAACCTTCGAATGTTGTCATTCAAAATGCTGATAGCTATACGAGTGGATTTATTCATTATTTTCCTTATATTGATAATATAAGGTTGAATTCAGACTTGATTTCGAGACTCAACATAAATAATAAAATTGAGCCTCATGATATAATTTTAAAATTATTAGAATATATAAATGATGGGTCATATACGGCACTATCAAGCATTGATATACGTCATATGAATGAAAATGATAACAAACAAAGAATAAATGTTCTCTTAGATAATCCACCTCGATTACTTCTTCGGCGAACATTTATTGAAAGCATATCAACAATGAATCGTTTATATCATTTTCTCCACCATGAATTGAGCAATGATAAACGATACATGAAATGGCCACTTGTTTTCTTGCCAGATTCACCTATATCAAAAAACACTGATTTATGTATTGGTCAATTTTTGTTTATTAATGAAGTAGCGTGGGACGATCCAACGCATTTATTGCCTGAACATAATTTTATTAAGTCATTATATCCAGATTTGGAAAACTTTTTCAAACATGTATTACAAATACCATCGACACCAAATGCAAAATGCTACTTAGAATTACTGGAAAAGTATTCAAAAGAAAACATAACTGATCAGCAAACAGAAAATATATGGAAAATATTCGACAACTTAAATGATGAAGATAATGATAGCATTATTAGTAAGAATTCGATAGCGTAAACATTTCGACTCTGTTTCTTTTTTTTTCTCTTAGAATTATTTCGATATCGTTATCTTATACCAAGTATGACAGAATTCGGATGGATAAAACTTGATGATGAGCCATATATTCCCGATGACAAAATTGTGGCACAATTATTTGAATCAGAACGATTGCCAATAATTAAATTACCTGGTATAGTCTTCGATATTATAATATCTGTAGATATGTTTATTATTGAATTCGTTTTTTTCTTGTCTTTCATCTAGAATACGGTTTAACGACAAATGGACGAAAATTTCTTGATAAACTTCAATGCAAAAATTTCTCTGAAGTATTAATATCAAATGTAAATATTACAAATGAAAAATTATCCGATGATTTAAGACAATTTTATATAAAAACTTTACCATTTATTTCCAATTATTTATACAATCAGACAGATATGTTTGACGAATCATATGACAAACGAAAATTAAATGAAATATTTTCGCATATGAAATTTTTCAATGTTAATAGTATTCAAGTGACATATAGATACAAACAAATATCATTTGATCATGATTATGATTGCTATCTTGACAAAAAGTCTAAAAAGTTCTATTTATTAAACACACAACGTTATTCTCAAAGCATTGATACAATGATACAATTTATTATTGATGATACTGTTGCAGAATGTCATTATAAACGTAATAAACTGGATAAATATTATAAAAAGTTATTAATAGCTTACTCAAGAAACCAATTAGAACAATATATGATCGATGATCATGATTCATCAAAACCAATTTGGATAATAGATATCGACAATAGTGATGAAAGCGACGACAGTGAAGATGAAACTAATCTAGTAGAAAATATCAATAATCAAGATTCAGACGAGAAGATCGTTTCTAATTCAGCACTAGCTGATAAAATACTTAATGAAGAAAAAATTTTAATTCCAAAATCGAAGTCAAAGCAGAAAAGAACCTATCAACAATATGATACGAATGTTTCTAATTCGAATACCGATATCAGCGATAAAGCAAGCAAGTCCATAGAGGATAGTAACACTAGCAACGATGATCAGTCGACAAATAATCGAGAAAACGAAGGTCATCGAAAAGGTATTTCCTTTAGCAGATCAATCTTGTTTTTCTTTTCATATCATGATTAAAAGATCACGGGTTTTGCTATTCTGTCTGTCTCTATTTCAAATAACTTATCGAATTAATTAGCAGTCTAAAATTTGTTTAGTACAGTAAATCAAGTAACAGTAGAAATACATGAGCTAAATCTGTTTCTTTTCATTGAGCATTTCACAATCTTTGTTTCTTTTTAGCCATGTTTCAGCATTTTTATTCTTTCTCGATTGTTTTAGATACTACTTTGACCTTCATACAGAAGAAACAAAATATAGTCAAATTTCAACACGTTGATCTTGACAATCTAAAGATATCGCATGAGAATGATTTAGACGAAAGTTCTAATGAAGCAATAGATGAAGAAAGTCTTCTAAGAATTGGACGCACAGGAGAGAAATGGGTATATGAATATTTGAAAGATTTGTATTATCTTAAAGAAAATGTATCGATCAAATGGCTAAATGAAAATGATGAAACAGGATTACCTTACGATATTGAAATTAATTTTATTGACAACTCTCAAGATACTCAACGAATTGAGGTTAAAACAACTTCAAAACATATTGATAATTATCAGTTTTCAATATCAATACAAGAAGTTCAAGCGATGCTACGATATCCTAATACTTACTACATATATCGAGTCAATTTGAATAATCGGTCGTTGACAATTATAGATAATATAACACAGAATTTAACCGACAAACGACAACTACAATTACAAATGAATGTTTTAACATTCGTTAATTTAAATGAAAAGTAGTAACTTATTTGCAAGCAGAAATACACTATGAAATATAGAGTGATCTTTTTAATTCTTATCATCGCGTTGGAGTGTGGGTGTGCGTCACACACAGTGGGGAGTCAGGCGGATATATGCGAAAATATTCTTTTCCAGAATTTAACCATTTGCATAGATACATGCATATGTGATCTATCATTTCACAAAATAACGGTTCGCAAAATTTTATAGAGTACAAGAAAAGAGCCCGCCAAGGCTTGGGCCCAGGAATCAGCATCAATAAAGAAAGTCACGCCGCTCGGCAATATAACACAATATTCCACAAGCAAACAATGTTGCGAAAATTGTAATCCAATTTAAGATTGAGTAGAAAATAAGGATTCTCTATGCAGAAAACATACCTGAAAACCTACTGTTCCATATGTTAAAAACTTTACAAAGAGATCACGTCTGCTCAAGTGCGTATTTTTACCACATATACATACATATGTATTCTAATTCCTGTAGTAGCGCCAATTCGTGAAACCTTTCCTAAGGGGTGGGCGTGAGTGTGGGTGTGATGTGGGGCTTCTATTAGTCTGTATACACATCCACATCCCACCCTTACGCCTATCACAGACACGTTCTACTTGTCTGTGCACTCCTGCCCGAATTCAACTTTGTCACTTAACTTCCCATTTTGTAGAAATTTTCAAGCTCTATCGATTAGTATGTAAACGAAAGTGTTTTAAACACAGAATAAGGGAACACGATTCGTCAGAAGATGGATGAGCATCGATTTTTATAGATTATAGACCGTTTGTGATCTCTAGAAATATGTTCTGTATGTAATGATTTGTTAATAAAAATATCTAATTTCGAATAGGATCTTTCATTTCTTCATATTTCACCACTGTTATCGATCATAATTTAAGTTTCTTAGATGTGCACATATATATGAAGTCAGATTACAATGAAATTCTTTGACATCTGTATTCTTATGGAAATTAAAAAGTACAAATTTATGTTGCAAGTTCGATCTCTGATTTCTTTATTAACAAATAATCATTATTATATACAAAAAAGGAAACAAACTAAAGTATGTTTTAAATAAGTAAATGTTCACCACCATAAATATAAATTAGAATTAATATACTTAATAGAATAGTTTTTAAGTAAATTTTCTGATTTCATCATCACATTGATTTCTTTTATGCATACTTTTGGTGTATATGCAATACATAAATAAAATAAATGTTGTGTTTTATTATGAGTTTTTGATAATAAAAATCGAATTATTTGTTGTATTTCTGTTCTATTCATTCCAGTTTCCAGACATTTCAATTGTGGAAATAGATTAACAATAAATTCAAGTTCATTCAATGAACATCGACCATGAAGAATTAAAGATTTTATTTTATTTATTTTGGATGCATATTCAAAAGCATAATTTCGTCGAACTACATCTAAATTATTGTGATGTAAACCAAATGTATGAAATTGTAATGTATGTAAGTTAGATGTAAAACATAACAATCGAATAATATCTTCCAATGGTATACGATAAGGTTCAAGAACTATTTTTGTAAGTTGTTCCAAAGAAATCATACAATTAAGATTTCTTACTATCGAATCGTTCCAATCGTCAAAGAACAATGTAAATATTAATTGATTAACATTAGGAAAACATTTCAGACAATGATCTTTTATTTTACTACAAATAAATAGATGATTAACTGAATTAAAATTTTCTTCTTGATTATGTGAATAAAGTTGTTCATCTGATGCCCAATAATACATATAGTCTTTTCTTCTAAAAGAATGCAAATATAAATAGAAAAAAAAACAAGTTAGAAGATAAATATCGAATTCTATTCTGTTTCGATAGAAAACAATTAAGAAATTTTATTTCATGTGATGACTTATTTTCATTTGAATCATGTAAGATCTCGTATTGCATGTTCCTAAATAATGTATCACAACAGGAAATGAAAACAAGTTGTTGAGAGATGAAAAAAAAGTTTTTCTTTTTCTATCGAAAAGAAATAGAATTCAATTTTGATATCATTACATATTCATCATAGATGAATTTCTATTTACCGATATGGAATAGATGAATAAATAACACCTCTATCCATTGTTGATTTCCAATCATGTTCATGTGTAAAAAACCATTTTTTCTCAATCCAAAATGATGAACTAAATTGTTTGATAATATCATATTTATTTCCGATTGAACCTTGATATTTCATATCGAATATACGTAAATATGGCATATACGATATGATTAATTGTTGCCATAGTTTAGCATTTAAATATTTTTCATCACTATTCATTGTCAAATGTAAAATTTCAACATAATCAAAAAATTGTTTAATAATATTTTCAAATTTATTAAAATCAATCGAATTAAGTTTAAATGAAACATATTTTAAATATCGTAAATGAATATAATAAGATAGATCATCGATTTTTATATTATCATTTGAATTAACAAGAGATTGAATAGATATATGATGAAGTTCAGGAAGACAAGATAATAAATTATTGAGACTATTAAATGGAAAATCACCATTGATAATTAAATATTGAATAGGACTAAAAACATGACGAGTCAAGTCAAACGATATTGACTTTTGATTTTGATCATCTTTAATTGTATATTCAATTTTACAATATTTTAATTTTTTTAATTGAAAAATCGAAGAAAATAGAACACTTAATGATTGTATATGATCAGCAAGAGAAATGATTAATGAATATAATTCATGTAAATGTGCTAAATGATTAATAAGTTTAATAAAATCTTTCATTTCAATATGATCAAATATTAATGTTTCGAGATGAATAAATCGTAAAATTGTATATGCAGATGAAAAAATAAGTTCATTCATAAATGGATTCGATAAACGAATTAGACGAATTCGATGTTTATTTGGTAGAAGAATATTTTTATGATAATATTCAAATTTTGATTTTGACATTGTTGAAATATTGATTTGATTTAGAAAATTTGAATTAATAATTAAATTTTGAAATCGTTGATTTAAATTGAAAAATCCTTTATAAATATCATAAAGATCAAGATATTCAAATATTTCATAAAAAATTTCATTAGCTAAATCTTCAAAATGATACCTGAATAAAAAGAAAACGATTATTTTTTCTTATGATATTAAAACAGATATGTGTATATCTATCTCACCTATTTGAATAGATTCTTTTTGAAAATACATCTGAAAAGAAATCTACATTATGTAATTTTCGTTTTTTAATCCAATTCGAATTTTGAATTACGTCATTCTCTTGCCATTGCATGTTTATGATAAGTGAATAAGGATGAAACTATATATACACTTGAATGAATCAACACATTATATAGTCGTTTTCCTTCTGACGTATATCATCATATATAGAAACGATAAAAAAAAATGTATTCGATAGTGGACGATTGAATTTTCATCTTCTCTTTGAATAGATGTCATCGATCTACTGATTGATTCCTAGTTTTCGAAATAATTCCGTCGTTCTATAATTTCTTTGAAATTTTATTTTAAGATAGTTCGTTTTGATCTACATTATTTTTTAAGATCGTTTTTTTTTTAAATAAATTATGAAGGATGGCAAAAATTAATTTATTTCATATATCCTGGTAAAAATTTTCTTAGCATAAATATTCGTAACGAAACCGAGTATATTGATTGTATTCTATTATGATGGTTGCCACTATCTATTAGAAACGAAACCAATAATACGATCTATTTAGTTAGATATTGTCTATGAATTTGGTTCTGATTAGTTTATTTTAAATAGTAATTTTATGAAGTATGTTATATTTAGCAACGATGAATTGATTCGTGGCTTACGACATTAGTATAGTTATGCAACGGTGTTCACTAACGTTTGTCATAATAGATGAAATATAAAATTCATCGTTGTTGTTCATATTATCTAGTCTTTTTACTATTATACGGCGTATGATGACTTGGTCCGCTGTACATGTGATAATCAAGCTATACTCATGGAGCAGAACATTGAAGGAAACGGACTGCGTAACGCGTTTCCAAGATTATAGATTGCGTTTTGCTACCGTCATTTTTTGAAACGATCCGAAAAGCTTTTTTCGAGATTGGGTTTCGAGACGTTTCCGAAGTAGAATGTTGTCGAACGCACTTCGGTCGACAAACGGCGTGTTCCATAGATATAAATTGGGGAAAACGTGAAACGCGTGTCGCTTTGGTTTTGCTTGGAATGATGCAAAATATATCCGCTCTGCATGCAGAATCTTGCAGGAATTCACCCATATAAAATCTATGAATTAAGCAAAGTGAACTCTTTGACATTATTTTGGAAATGATATGAAATAGTACTTGAAGGTTTTGCTCCTTGCACTATTTTAGAACATGAAAATCATGACCCAAATTTTTTGAAGGCAAGATTAAAACTGAATTCTTCTAAAAGTTTAGGTTGTTAGGCTGCTATCTAAATCTGATTCGAAGTTAGACTAATATTGAACATCAAAATGTAACAAAAAAATATTTGTCTTTAAAAACTCATTTCTTTACGCTTTTATTGAAAGAAAAAGCGTTTCGTAACGTTCAACCAAGAATTGCTTTAAAAATTGAACAATTCGAGAAGATTTAGTAAAGACTGACCACTAATATAATGAATACGGCAACTTGGTTTGGTTATTTTTGAACAAAAGAATTCTCGCATTATTTATAATTTGAATAATTATTAGTATGAATTCATACTTGGACTACTTTATAGTAACTGATGATACTGTGTACAATACTACTAAATATGATTTTAGTTCTTACATTGTTGATGTAAGCGTGACTTTTTAACAAAAAAGATTCGCTTACAAAGAGTTACTCTCGACTCGTCCCCAACTCGTCCCCAATTCGTCCCCAATTCGTCCCCTCCACATTAATTGACTCTCAACTCGTCCCCCACAAAATTCGTACCCCATTAATTGATTCTCAATTCGTCCCCCAATCCAATGGCTACTAATTGGTGACTAATTTGATAAACAGACGATT